TTTAAATGGTAATATTATATAACTTTAACATCAAATTTGTGTTTCGTTCGGCTCCTAAATTTCGGAAAACATTTCATGGTAGGCCCTCAGAATCGAAATTAGATTTCGGTTGTGAGTGGTAAAATCTTATTTTAATAGGACACCATATGCTTTATCACATAAGAGTTTTGCATTCTATGGAATTAGATGGTGCTATGTATGATGGTGCTATATATGTATGTTTTAATATTAGCTATATTCCACGGCTACGCCCGCATGTATCACTCACTATACGAGGTTTGTCCGGAAAGTACGTATAAAAGTTTTTTAAAAATTTTATTTTACAATTATTCAGGTAAATCAATTTTATCCCCTTCAAAGTACTCCCCCTGTGACATAATGCACTTGTGCCAACGCCGTTTCCACTGTGAGAAGGCTCCTTGAAAGTCCTCTGGTTGTAGGTTTCTCAGCTGCCCCGTCGTAGCTTTTTTTATCTCATTTATGTCCCCCAAATGCCGCCCCCGAAGTACCAATTTGGTTTTTGGGAACAAGAAGAAGTCACACGGGGCCAAATCCGGCGAATAGGGGGGTGTTCAGTCACCGTAATGGAATTTTTACTCAAAAACTCACGGACAACAAGAGAGGTGTGGGCAGGGGCATTGTCGTGGTGAAGAATCCAACGCCCCTCTCGCGCCAATTCTGGACGAACTCGTGCCACACGAGCTTTGAGGCGTCTGAGCACATCGACGTAGAATTTTCCATCAACTGTCTGGCCTGGAGGGACGAATTCTTGATGGACAATCCCCCGAACATCGAACTCTTTCTCGGCCCTCTCTGAATCTTTTTAGCCACTTGTGGACGGTTGGTTCCTTCACAGCATCATCCCCATAAACTGTTCTGAGATCGGCAAAAATTTCACGGCCATTCTTGCCGAGTTTCGAGAGAAACTTGATTACGACGCGCTGCTCTTCAACGGAAGCGGGCTCCATGCCGACGGGGTTTCGTTAAGAGGTAACTTCACAGATGGCGTGACAAGCCAGTTCGCACCGCACGGCGGTCAGACCAGAACTGAAGCATTGTTAGGGACATAAGGAAGGGGTCCTGCGCTTACCTGGCCTCCCCACTCCTCTTTCTCGCATTCCAGAACACTTTTATACGAACTTTCCGGACAGACCTCGTATAAGAAAATCCTATATTAACCTTAAATTTAATCTATCTATGTACTAAACTTCATTCAAATTCATTCTGTAGATTTTGCGTGAAAGACTAGTAAACATCCATCCATGTATCATTGCAAACTTTTACATATATTTCAATATATATTGCACAATACATAACCTACACATACAATCAGTCAATGTGCTTTTTCAACCGACTTAAAAAAGAGGTTCTCAATTCGGTTGTATATTTTTATATTTGTTACCTTATACGTTCATCACTTTTCTTTTTTTGATGGGTGAAAATGGAATGGCTACCTCGCCTGTGCTAACGGTATACGCTGACGGAGCACCAGTGAAGGGTGATCGATGAGAATGAAAACAGGCCAGTTAGCCCATCATGATGAATTTATCAAGAATTAATCATGATAGTTTCCAGGGGGAACCGCGTGAAGGTTGACCTGGTTGGGTATATTGCTAGAAATAGGATTCTTAGTCTCCATTACTAACAGTCCCTTTCCCCCCATAAGTTCATCAGTTGTAAACTGATTAAGATTTGTTTTACCTACAAGGATATACTACATACAGTTTTGTTCCATAGAAATTTTGTCAAAAAGGTTTAGTATGTAATTTAGTTTTTAAATCAAAATAACTGGCTTTCTTCAAAACTGAAGTTAATTATTTTTGTGAGAATCAAAATTTAATATTATTTGAGGTCGGTATATAAATTTAGGTAAGTGCGTACATCGAATACGTTTAATCTAGCTACCGAGGAATCCATGTCAATTACGATAAATTTGATAAGAACGACCTATTAACTGGTGTATTTGCTCGGTTGGAACAAATTAACTGCAAAATCATATCTCAACGTCCCTATCTTCTGCGAGTTGATATCGTAAACAAACACATTTGTTTCACGTTCGACCGTCAATTAAATAGGAATCCAATTCCAGAGTAATAGGTTTGTTTTTTATTCAACAAATTATATTGTATTAAAAGACAAAATATCAATTCTAAAAATATTTTCTTTTCCAAGAATTGATCGATGACGTTATTTCGAATAACGAACGCGATGATGCAAAATGTCGTATTTTTTTAATAAATTTCCAGGAGTTACGTTTTTTTTTTATTATTTTTCTTATTAATATTTGACATTTTAAAATGTTTCGCTAAAATTGTATGCATTGTACTTGGCTATAATAAAAATTCGCAGCACTTTGATCACAATAACGTGCAGAACACCTACTATGTCATGTCTGACCAGTTTTGTGGTTTATCCTTGTTTGTGATGTGCAATGTACATATATAAATTATGTATCATTGCGCTTTACAGTCATTGACCTGCATTGACTGATTAATTATATTTTTTGAGGTTAGATTGCGGTCTATAGATAAAAAAATTATCTTCTCTTACTAATATATATTATTGTATTGTATTGTAAAATCCTTATTATACATAATTTACATTAGACACAATTTAAAGATTTAATACACAATGGCGGACTTATCGCATAGAGGGATCTGTCAAAGTAAATTTTTGAAAAATTGGAAGAAAAATACAGAATGTTCGAGCGTAAAAACCGTACAGCTAAAAATAAATTAAATAATTAAAGTTAAAATTAAACATAATAAAACAAATGCCATATGGCATTAAGCTCGCCATTTGTACAAAGTTTTATTGTGCAGTAAAGAATTAATAAATAATTTTATAAATGAAAATTATATACAATACAATAAAAAATATACACCTACATATATAATTATACATGAATATACATTTATAAAACATATATTCACAATTGGCTCAATGAAATAAGAGTTTCAGAATAAAATTTTATGATGCCTACTTAAAATGAATTTAATGATTGTGCCATCTTCAAGTTATTAGGAAGTGAGCTCCAAAGACGTACAACATATTTCTAATATACATATATTAGAAATATATTGTATTAACATATTATATTGGAACTAAACGTCGTCTGTACATTGGAAATATTTAAGAAAAATTAATATAAGGAGTTTTAATATTAACAGACTTTTAACATATTCGAAAATAGATATCTGACCGATATTAAAACTTTGGACAATATATAGATATTGGACCGGTATCCATATTACCCATGCCTAATACTGGGATCAAGGGGGAAAGGGATTGTTAGTAATGGGATCTAATGAACCCATTGCTAGCAATACACCCTATCAGGTCCACCTCCACGTGGTTCCCCTTGGAAACCATCGTGAATAATTCTTATTGAATTCATCACGATATATCACCAACCAACTGACCTGCTTCATCCTCACATATCATCTCTCACTGGTGCTCCGCCAGTGTACACTGATAGCGCGGGTGAAGCTACCATTCCATTATCACCCATTAAAAAAAACCAATAGGATTCAAAGTACCTATTAATCAGTTACGTTCTTTATTTATTAGAGAAAATATTTTTTGGCTACGTATTCTAAGACCATATTACCTGTAGGTATGAATGGCACGTACCAATCTGTCGAATAGCAATCTCTTTTAAGTTAGATTAAGAGAAAGTCTGGTCAAACTGTACCTACCAAACTAGATACTAGATAAAAGATACTTAATATTTCTTCATTACTAATACAGTACTAATACCTGGCTACTAATTGAACAATTCATACGTAAATACCTAAGTTTTTTTTATTTCTTTGTATATGTCACTAATATCTTTAGTAATTACGGAGTAATTTCTATAATATTTTTTTTAATATCTTATTTTCATCGTGATACCATAGATACGTGTACAAGTTTTTTTTTTGTACGTGTCAGAGATATCTTTGCTAATTACGAAGTAATTCTTATATTTCTTTTTATATTATATGATGTTTTTTTTTTTTTAATGAGTGAAAATGGTATGGTAACCCCGCCTGCGCTAACGGGATACGCTGGCGGAGCACCAGTGAAGGGTGATAGATGAGAATGAAAACAGGCCAGTTAGCCCATCATGATGAATTCATCAGGAATTAACCATGATAGTTTCCAGGGGGAACCGCGAGGAGGTCGACCTGGTTGGGTATATTGCTAGCAATGGGATTCTCAGTATTCATTGCTAACAATCCCTTTCCCCCCTATTATATGATGTTCTATTTTACAATCCCGTCATAAAACCTCAATAGGATATCCATTGACCTCAATATGGTTTAAAAGAGACGGAAATTAACGCGACCATTCGTTCATATTAAAAACCATAAATCATGTAAAGCGAAAGTTTAAAAGTTAATTAAAACCTTCAATAATCTCGAATAACCTCCAAACTGCCCGTCCACTGAAACCTACGTCCTGTTTAAATTAAATATTTAAAAAACAAACTGTTCGATAAAAGTGAACACCGTTAACAAAACAAATTAATAACAAACATATAGGCATCATAGCATATATAGGAATCGTTTCTGCCATATATATTTTGAAATCAAACAATTATAATTAGCATTCATTTAAATATCAGTGAAAATCAACTAAACCACCTATCTCTGACTACCTCATTTAGGGTAACAATCATGAGCATATTATTAATATGATGTTAGAATGCATCATACAACAATAAGGCTAATTAAATTAAAAACAACATTAAACAAGTATAAACTGTCTATTGCATAGAAATTCCGATACGTTTTCAACGAATAAAAACAGAAGGGTAGTCACAAATTAAATGGACTGTAAAAAATAAAGACAAACTGCAAACAATGCACATTCGATCGACGCATTGCAAATAGAAACCTTCCCACGGTTCAGCGGACGAAAAACAGGTTCCACTTGCATACCAAAAGCAAATCGGCCGTATCCGTTCCTCAATAATTATAAAAAAAAGAAACAAAAAAAACAAATAACTCACGTACCTCAGTCAATCCAAAAGCGAGCGAACTACGGTGACACAACTAATTAAACGCACATGTTTTTAAACTTCACTTGGCAAGATTAAAAAATGTATTCATTCTATACTAAATCACTTTCGATAGCGAAACACACGCGGACGCCGGTTTCGTAGAAAAATTCGACAAAAAAACACGACCTACCACCACCGATACAGAAGCGACACTGACTTGTCAGCTTGAATGTGAGCTGCTGAACGGTCCATTCTCGGATACTACGAGCTACGGCCATTCAGGTATGTGAACAACCTCTGAGACGAGATGTCGACAATCAAAAATCAACTGTAACACTAAATCAAAAGCAATAACATTCCTTTGGATGCGTACCACTGATAAGGCTGCGTCGATATCAGCACTGCGTCTAGTATTCTAAAGTGAAGGAGACAGAGCTACACGAGTACCGTGCGGAAGCAAGACAGACGTCGTTCGACATTAAGATGATTGGACCGTGAAATTTTTATATTCAGTTTGCAGCAAAAGCGCATCTTCTGAACAATAGTGCATACTCACGACAGCATGGAACGCTTTGACTCATTATTTATATGGAGCTTGAAATGGGACGTCAGAGTCTCATTGTTTTAAAGGAGCTTAAAAGCTATTGCGGCGAGCCTTGTTGGGAGCCATTCCCATGGGATGAGACAAAATAATGAGGTTTTAAATTAATAATTACGTGCATAGTCTATTGAAGTTTATGGCCAATTACTGCTGGGAAACAAGATGCTACCGTATGCTAACAATGCAGAGTTATGTGAACAGCCATAATGTGAAGAAAACACAAGATTACTTACTGTACTTTGATAATTACTTCTGACTTGAGTTTTTACTATAAGAATATTATTCTTGTTTATATTTAATATACCTACCTACATATCGACATGGTGTCTATCTGCCTTTTTCATTTAACCTTCGTTCATTTTAAGTCATATATATTTTAAAAATAATTAATTACCTTTCAAAAACCGACCTAATATATCTAACCTACAAAAACAAAAGATTTCTTAGTGATAAGGCCGCCTTTTGCATCATTTCTTATTAAAATTAGCAGTATTTACTATTTTATAAACGGTGCAATAAGGTGTAAAATAAGTTAATAAAAAAAACAAATATCTTGCTTGATCTTGATATTTGATAAAAATGTCACATTCAATGTGAATCAAATATGTGCAAATTATTCAATCCCCTCGCCAAAAATAAGTAAGTATAAAGGAGACGCAATTATGAATAATGTGCCCTCGGCTTTTTTGCTCCGATCCCTTTTAAGAATCTTAGAATAATCTACCTGCTACTTATGGCGGTAAAAATAACACACTGAGGGATGCATACAAAAACTTCACTTTTGTAACATTAATAGATTTTTTTTTGTTTTTTCAGGTTTGTCAGCTTTCGTTGCATAGCCTAAGTAAACTGGTATTAACATAAAGTTTCCAAATTAAAGTACCCACAGGATTACCATGGCATATAGTTAAAACTAAACTTTGGGTATATCGATAGCAATGGGACTGGTAGTCCGCTTTACTAACAATGCGGAGAGGGATTATTAGTAATGCGGACTACCGACCTCCACGTGGTCCCCCTTGGAAACCATCGTGCTGAATTCCAAGTGTATTCATCACGATGAGCTAAGTGACCTGCCTTTTCATTCTTACCTATCATCCCTCACTGGTGCCCCGTCAGCGTATACTGTTAGCGCAAGCGGGGTTACCATTCCATTATCATCAACTAAAAAATCCCTCTCCGCTCAGGACAGAGGATTAGCAAGTTCGTGGCTACAAGCCACGTATATTGCTCGAATTGAGAAGAACTACACTGATGAGGGAAGAAAAGATCTCCATCCATAGCATTGAAGTATACCAATATATTATTGACTCCCACTAAGTATTACTTGCCAGCATAAAAATATTGAAAGCATATGAAAGTCACACGTGATACAATATTTAATTTTGCAAATAAACGTTTTATATTGATACACGTACTGGCCGTGTGGTCTTGGCAAAAAATGGACCACTTTTTCTTGCAGTAGATGTCGTAAGAGGCGAATAAGGGAACCTAATGGTCTAGGTATAGGTAGCAGCGTCCCTTTTAAAACATTACCAAAGCCTAACTGCGATTGCCAACTTGCCTGCTAAGCGTGGCAACTACTGGCAAAATTCCCCAAAGGGGAGGCCTATGTTCAGCAGTGGACAGTTAATGGTTATATACATAATCATTATCATGTACTGTAGATACGTAGAATATGCATATGTTTTTTTTTTATACAACTTAGAATGGCAAACAAGCTGACGGCCCACCTGATGGAAAGTGGTAACCGTCGCCTATAGACATGAGCAGTACCATGGACATAACAGAGTATACTGTTTCGCCCATAATACCCCCCATGCGTTGCCATTCCTGAGGACTCAGGTGTTATTCCTCTGTACCTTGTAAATTCACGCCATATCCCATCCTTCAAACCGAAACACAGCCATGCAAACACAACTGCTTCACGGTAGAAACACGAATCTATTAAAGCCATTGTGTATGCAATATCTAGTAAATTACATACAGCGCTCATTATGGTTTACACTATATTGGCCATGAACTGAATGTCTTTGAAAATCCTACATAAAGGTAGACAGATTTATTGGTTATTATGCAAATTTATTATGCATTTGTTGTCAAGTTGTTTTAATCTCACTACATAAAATCTAATATTCAATTATTTGCTTTTTTGTATAGCAAAAAAACTAAATATTATTTATTATTATTATTATCAATCTCTCGCTAGTTTCAAAACCTCTGTTAAAGCCCATTATCTCTCCCTTTAAGTAACTATTTTTTCCCATGTTCTATCTTCATCTTCCAGTGTCACTCTCTCCTGTTGTATGTGTACTTTTAAGTTTGTGTATGTTTATGTATGTATTTGTTTATGTATGTATTTGTTTATGTATATATATGTATATACATGTATATGTATATATCTTTGTATATATTTGTTTATATATAATAGTACTAATATAATAGTGCGCCACCTACCCTTTATTTTTCTTTGTTCTCTCAATGTTCTCTACCCAAAGGTTGTCTGGAAGAGATTGCTTAGCGATAAGACCGCCTTTTGTATCATTTCTTATTACAGTTAAATGTGTTTACTATTCTATAAATGGTGCAATAAAGTGTACATAAATAAATAAATATTATTTATTTATTCATTGAATTGCTTCTGTGGACTAAAGGACTGTATGCTGGTATGGAAATACCGTGTTTTTAGAAAGATAATATAATTATAAAACTATATACGCATAATATAAAACATATAAGCAAACAAAGGTACCAAATAAGCGAACGAAACAAAAAAATCTGACAGTAACTGCAAATCACAAACAAAAATTTCTTTTTAATAATATTAGAAAGGAAAAATAAAAATGTGCGTCGTACACAGCTTCGTTCCAATCCTTCTGTTCCAACAAGAACTTCGGAGAGGAGAAGGGATTGTCAGTGAAAACAATATATCCTGTCAAATTGACCTTCACGCGGTCCTTCTTGGACCAACGTGGATTCGTCACAATGGGCCAAATAACCTACTTTTATCGTCACCTATCATCTCTCACTGGGGCCTCGACAGCGTATACTGATAGCGCAGGTGGCATTACTATTCCATTATCATCCATTAAAAAAAATAAAAAGTTATTACTTGAAAAAGGATCTCGCAAGTTATAATAGATATGTATATTCAAAATTTCAAGCAAATTTCAAATCAACTGCAGTTAGTACAGTCTCCAGCTGTCATCATCTTTATTCTAACATAATACTATAGACTCCCTAGTAGTACTCCTCCCAATACATTTGAGGTCATTGCTCTATTGAATAAGGGTTGTTCTACAATAATTATTGTATTATCCTCAATTAACTTGTAAGCATCCTATGTGTTAATGTAATTCATTAATATGGTGTATTTGTAACCAAATTTAATTAAAATTAGTTTTAAGTAACATTCAAACATATTTTTAGATACGTAATCTTGCATTCGGGAGTACAAACAAATCCCATACATCTTTATAAACTTTATTATTTAGCGAGAATGAATAACAACTTTAAAATGCATACCAACCACTCAATTATTGGGACAAGGCCAAGAACATAATGAGCATGAATGAATAACAATGTTACATAGATGAATTGGTCTTTCAGTGTCGGACGTTCAATTAGAACTTATTTCAATTGTAAACTATGCTTTACATCCACAATTGATTCTAAACAAACAAACGTCTCATTCCAATAATAATTTGCTGTATTGCATTGTATTTAATTTTACATCTGTTTTATAGTGATATGTTGAGTCAAGCTGATACGAGTGGTGACTCGAATACCTAATATGTTCTCAGGTACTCGAGTACTTACACTACTCGAATATTACTAGTGTGTTTGACATAAGTTTCCGTTTCAGGATCTTATTAATATTTTCCTTAATTTACTAAAGAAAAATTATTGGATTTTTTTTATACAACTTAGAATGGCAAAGAAGCGGACGGCCCACCTTAAGGAAAGTGGTAACCGTCGCCTATAGACATGAGCAGTACCATGGACATAACAGAGTATATTGTTTCGCCCATGATACCCCCCATGCGTTGCCATTCCTGAGGACTCAGATATTATTCTTCTGTACCCTGTAAATTCACGCCATATCCCACCCTTCAAACCGAAATACGCCATGCAAACACAACTGCTTCACGGTAGAAACACGAATGGGACAGAGGTACCCAAGCAATCGACTTTTGTTCAAATTCTCCCTCTGGTTATTATTCAATATTTGCTACATTCATAAAAATGAATATCAGAAATTAATATAAAAAGTACTTCGAACTAAGAACTCGAACAAGTGTTCGAGTGCTCGTACGGATGAGTACTCGAATAGTTGCCCGAGTTCTGAGACTCGATTTAGAATTCGAGTCTTATTTTAATGAGTATTAAATTACTCGAATACAAAAAAGGCTCACTCAGCACGCTACTAACTGCACCACGTCTTTGCAAGCTGTTGAATGATTGCAAGCAACACTTGGATATTCAAAACTAGGAGACCAAATAAAGATAAAATAAAATAAAATACTAACGTTTTGTATGTAGTTGTCTGTTGCTTTGCCAGGGTCCTCGTCCTACAATTAGAGTTAATTGACACAAGTGCGTAATGGCTCTGACATCAGCCGCTATTCTCAAATCGGTACAAATAAATAATGACGAGTGGATTTTGCTCCGCAAAAAAAACTATAAATTCAACGGTAGCAAAATTATATTGACTTTAATA